ACTACGAACATTTGTTAAATATATTCGAAATTTTTTGAAAACTAGAACTTTTCGCTAGGTGGGAGATATATGTCTCACCGGGACTCAAAGGGTTAAAAAAAGGAAATTATGAATTATCATTGTTTTACTAAACATTATATTTATCATATAAGACTACATACTTTATCCATACTAGCTTCATTTAATCTCATAATGCTTGAATGAGCTAATTTTTCAAAGATATGTTTAACATATTTATTTGGATAAAGTTCTTGTGGTCGAAGAATTTGTTCGAGAAATTTTGTTTCAAACATCGCACTAACAACATCATTAACCACTAAAATATTTTAATTATATTTATTTTCTTTCTAATTTATTACTCTTCTACCTTTAACTGATTTTTGATCAATAATTTCTTGAGCTGATAAACGTTGTTCTAATATATATATCATTTCACCGCCCATATTAAAGAAAATAATTGGAAATGCTTTCAATGACATGTCGAAAACGATTTATAGTTTTTTTTTGAAAAAAATATAAGGAATCCTTTTTTTTCTTTTCAACCATTATCGAATTTACCGTTGTGGGATCTCCTCTCGTATTATAGATTGATTTTAATACAAAGATGGCGCCTTTTATCATCAAATCTTCATATAAAATATCCTATAATCACTTTAAAACGAAATTTCCTTTTATGGCTACTTGTATATAGATATATATATACATGTACAATTTTTTACTTCTTTTTTTCTCCCTCTATTAAATAATAATCAAATCTTATTGTTTCAACTCCTAGCTTAAAAAGAAATCAGGTATTTTTTCTAACCATATAGAGAACGAAAAAGAGAAGAACAGAACACTTTACTACAGACCCATTTGAAATGGCTCTATGCATCATTAGAGAAAGAAAAAAAAAAACGTATGTTTCAAACAGCATTATGAGTAAAAACACGCAGAAAAATAAGTACGAGCTGATAAAGATATGATTTACTACCGTACGTGTATTACAAATGAAATAGATATTTATTTGTAGAAATTTAATAAAATTTGATTTTCTTCTTTTAGATTATTGATTAAATTCGTATTTTGTATCGATATGTGCAATGCGGTTAATTATTCGTTATCTATCTCCATTGTTTCGATCACGACGTCGTTTTTCTTTTTTTGCCTTTATTAGTTTACTTCTTTGTCTAGCATTGATTTTATTTCTTGGTATTGATAATGAATGATTATAATCAATAAGAAATAATACCGAAAATAAATTAATTACAAAATCAATATCTACCACTCAAAAGTAAGAGATCATCGTTCTATTGTATATTTACTAATCATTATTGATCATCTAATGAGATATTGACATAGTCTATGTTTTTTTCTATTTCTAGTAAAGGATTATGGCCAATAGATAAAAAAGGTCGTTCATTAAAAACAAAATTTCTTGTACTTGATTTAACAGGTTTTTTTGGATCTGGTGCAAGTGAAGGTGCAGAAGTTCAATGTTCATCATCAAATACAACATTTATTTGGACACGTCGACAAGATCGAATTGAAGAAATTGATTTTATTATATCACATGACGCACGTAATCTTAATGATGCACTACTAAGTAAAATTCAGTTAAATAATGTCAAACAACAATATACAATGGCATATGTTATGGAAAGTGAAGTACATTCATCAACAGGAGATCCTTGGAAAATGTATAATTTTAAAATGACATATAATCTTGATGATAGTTATCCTGAACCAGCTACTTATTTCGATACTAATATACATATAATTGATTTACTTAAACCACCGACAATCTCATTTGAAGATAAAGAACCAGACGCAGATGTTGTTTGGATTATTTCAAATTGTAATGTAAGTGGTCCTTTAGAACAAAGAAAAAAAATTTTTTTGTACAATAAGTTAATTCATAGATTATTCTATAGTAGAGATAAAAGTATTATGAGATATCATGTTTTTCATTTATATTATATAATCGACTCTTCTAGTATTTTTTTTTCACCTTTTCTTTATCTTTATTAGTATTAAAGGATTACGATTGAAATTACATTCATCATACATATTGATGAAGAAGATATTTCATAACACCTATGGATAAAATTAGCATTTATTTTTCTGTGCGATGTTATGAAACTTTATCTTAAATTAAAATATAATTGCGATAATAAAACGAGATTAGTTTTTGAATGTTTAACATCTCAAAATAAAAATGAATCTGTTGTTTACTTTATTCTTTTAGGCACATAATGGTCGAGAAGATTTTATTAAAGAATTAATGAAAGAAATCAAAATTGATTCCTATGGTCCATGTTTAAATAATCGTCATGGTTATGAAGCTCGTATGACTGATAATGTTGATGCATATATGAAATATAAATTTGTTATTGCTATTGAAAATTCAAATTGTATTGATTATGTAAGTGAAAAATTAGTTAAAGC